TCGATTCAATAATACAAAGTACAGTCGTGCTAGTCGATAAAAATGTGTAATATTGTCTTATGGAATGCGGTTGTCTTACTTTTGTGATAGATAAAAAACAAGCACAAAATATGTAAAACAAACGAACATCGGTGAGTCCTTGCGATTGCTGGAGCAGTGTCGGGAGCGATTGATGGAAAAACGTTTGTCAGCTTGACCATTGCCGGGTGCGTTCTTTTACCCAACATCCAAGCAATTCTGCTGCCCAAGAAGACGGAAAAGAAGGCATAATTTGCTAGCAAAAAAAAAAAGACAGCGTATGCATTTGTAAATAGTCGAAACCAACCGTCCTTTTCAGGACGACCAAAAATATTTAAAAAGAGATTATCTTTTCATTCAATAGGGTATCCGAAATCGATTCAATAATACAAAGTACATCTCAGCTCAAAAGTACAGTCGTGCTAGTCGCTAAAAATGTGCAAATTGTCCTATCGAATGCGGTTGTCATACGTTTGTGATGGATTAAAAACAAGCACAAAATATGTAAAACAAACGAACATCGGTGATTCTGGTCGATTAATGGAGCAGTGTCGGGAGCGGTTGATTCTGAGATGGAGAAACGTTTGACGCTTGAATACATCACATTTTAGACATTCATATGATCTGTGCTTGCTTCTTTCATTAAGGTTGAATTAAACGTTTTTGATCTCTTAATAAAACGGATTGGTGGTCCTGAAAAGGACCGATTGGTGTCAACATAAATTCTACATTTTCTTTTTAACCGCCAAAACCGTACAGGGTACGGCCTTGTCTTTTCAGCGCGTAAACAACATCCATGGCTGTGACTGTCTTCCTCTTGGCGTGCTCGGTGTATGTGACCGCATCACGGATAACATTTTCCAAGAAAACTTTTAGAACACCACGAGTTTCCTCATAAATAAGACCAGAAATACGTTTTACGCCACCACGACGAGCTAAACGGCGGATAGCTGGTTTCGTGATGCCCTGGATATTATCACGCAACACTTTGCGATGACGTTTGGCGCCGCCTTTACCCAAGCCTTTGCCACCTTTACCACGACCAGTCATTTTTCACTTTATATTTTTATTCTACTTTACACCACGAATGTCACAAAGATACTAATGCTAGCTCTTCAGCCAGCGCTTATATTTATACCAAAAATATCCAAAACTCGAGCGAGTAAAAAAATATTTCCATCTCGCTCACACACTACCCTCGTAACATATTCGGCAAAGCGACGAACAGCAAACATCTTTCGTTCTCTTTCTAACTTATCACGTATTTTCTATATAAGCGATACACAAACGAGACACATGCTCAGTGTGTTTTTAACAGTGACTGTGTAAAGTTAGAATTGTGAGAGAAAGATGGCTCGTACTAAGCAAACTGCTCGTAAATCAACTGGAGGAAAGGCTCCTCGGAAACAGTTAGCTACTAAGGCAGCACGTAAAAGTGCTCCAGCAACTGGTGGTGTGAAGAAACCTCATCGCTATAGGCCAGGCACTGTTGCCCTGCGTGAAATTCGTCGCTACCAGAAGAGCACGGAACTGCTTATTCGCAAGTTGCCGTTCCAGCGTTTAGTACGCGAAATTGCTCAGGATTTCAAGACCGACTTACGTTTCCAGAGCTCGGCTGTGATGGCTTTGCAGGAAGCTAGCGAAGCCTATCTAGTTGGCCTATTCGAAGATACAAATTTGTGTGCTATCCACGCTAAGCGTGTCACCATCATGCCCAAGGACATTCAACTGGCCAGACGTATTCGTGGGGAGCGCGCTTAAGTTATACCTCACCCTTAAAACATAAATATCAAACAAATCGGTCCTTTTCAGGACCACAAAATATTCTAAACAAGGAGATTGATATTTTCCAATATACAACTTGAAATATGTACATCATACCAAAAAAGACAACAACACATTGTGACAAATAATCTAAAAAAAAACGATTTTCTGTCACCGAATTTTATTTGCAATATCATGCTCGAAAAATCTACGCGTTTGCCTATTGAAACATTTTTCAGCTAGAATTCCAGAAGAGAGCTGATGGATTATTTGCAAAAGTCTACTAGTCGGAAGATTTTTATTCGGGTAGTTTGGAATACTGATCCTTTGCTGTAGCCAACGCATAATAAGTTATCTTTTTTATTTCGAAAACAGAGTGCTTGTATTCTAAAATAACGAGTCCAAACTTTCGTCGATTACAATTGTTAATTTTCTGAAAGATATATCTATATTCTGATATTTAAAAATATTTTAAATTCCTTGAAAAGGCGATTTGTGGCCCTGAAAAGGGCCTTTTGCTTTTGTTTGCTTCCCGTACAATGTACATCTAGCTGAATTTTACTTGGAGCTGGTGTACTTTGTAACTGCTTTTGTTCCCTCACTGACAGCGTGCTTGGCCAATTCGCCGGGCAGCAAAAGACGTACTGCGGTTTGGATTTCCCGACTGGTAATAGTTGAGCGTTTGTTGTAGTGAGCCAAACGGGAGGCCTCGGCAGCAATACGCTCGAAAATGTCGTTAACAAAGCTGTTCATTATGCTCATCGCCTTTGACGAAATGCCGGTGTCAGGGTGGACCTGCTTGAGCACTTTGTAAATGTAGATAGCATAGCTTTCCTTCCTCTTGCGCTTCTTCTTCTTGTCATTCTTGGTAATGTTTTTTTGAGCCTTACCAGCCTTTTTGGCTGCCTTCCCACTTGTTTTCGGCGGCATTATTATTCACAAACGTTCACTTTAATTCACTTCACAAATGTTTGACACTTGGGGTGTGTTGCTTAGCATTTATACTTTTTTTCGAGCGACGCTTTCATGTTTATATCACGTTCAACTCGCATCTCTAAAACTGAAGAAGTAGGTAGTTGGAAAAAGTATAAATATAATGGATATGTGGTTGGATGTCAGAAACATTCGATAGTTGTGTGTAAGCAGTGAAACAGTGAAATAAGGAAAATACGAAAATGTCTGGTCGCGGTAAAGGTGGAAAAGTGAAGGGAAAGGCAAAGTCGCGTTCTAACCGCGCTGGTCTTCAGTTTCCCGTTGGTCGTATTCACCGCCTCCTTCGTAAGGGCAACTATGCTGAACGTGTTGGTGCCGGTGCTCCTGTCTACTTGGCTGCCGTTATGGAATATTTGGCCGCTGAAGTTTTGGAGTTGGCTGGCAATGCTGCACGCGACAACAAGAAAACTAGAATTATCCCTCGCCACTTGCAATTGGCCATTCGTAACGATGAGGAGTTAAACAAACTGCTTTCGGGCGTCACCATTGCCCAGGGCGGTGTTTTACCCAACATCCAAGCAGTTCTGTTGCCCAAGAAGACGGAAAAGAAGGCATAATTTGCTAGTTAACTAAACAAAAAAAAAAAAAGACGGCGTATACATTTGTAAATAGTCGAAACCAACCGTCCTTTTCAGGACGACCAAAAATATTAAAAAAGAGATTATCTTTTCATTCGATAGGGTATCCGAAATCGATTCAATAATACAAAGTACAGTCGTGCTAGTCGATAAAAATGTGTAATATTGTCTTATGGAATGCGGTTGTCTTACTTTTGTGATAGATAAAAAACAAGCACAAAATATGTAAAACAAACGAACATCGGTGAGTCCTTGCGATTGCTGGAGCAGTGTCGGGAGCGATTGATGGAGAAACGTTTGTCAGCTTGACCATTGCCGGGTGCGTTGTTTTACCCAACATCCAAGCAGTTCTGTTGCCCAAGGCATTATGTTAAAAAAAGGCATAATTTGCTAGTTAACGAAACTAAAAAAAAAAAAGCGTATTCTTCGTAAATAGTTGAAACAACCGTCCTTTTCAGGACGACCAAAAATATTTAAAAAGAGATTATCTTTTCATTCAATAGGGTATCCGAAATCGATTCAATAATACAAAGTACATCTCAGCTCAAAAGTACAGTCGTGCTAGTCGCTAAGAATGTGCAAATTGTCCTATCGAATGCGGTTGTCATACGTTTGTGATGGATTAAAAACAAGCACAAAATATGTCTTACTTTTGTGATAGATTAAAAACAAGCACAAAATTTGTAAAACAAACGAACATCGGTGAATCTTGTCGATTGCTGGAGCAGTGCCGGGAGCGGTTGATTCTTAGATGGAGAAGCGTTTGACAGCTTGACCATTGCCCTGGGCGTTGTTTTACCCAATATCCAAGCAGTTCTGTTGCCCAAGAAGGCATAATATTGAAAAAAGGGCATAATTTGCTAGTTAACTAAACAAAAAAAAGACAGCGGATAAAAGTTGACAACATCACATTTTAGATATTCATATGATCTGTGCTAGCGTGTTTCATTAAGGTTAAGGTTAAGAATTAAACGTTTTTGATCTCTTAATAAAACGGATTAGTGGTCCTGAAAAGGACCGATTGGTGTCAACATAAATTCTACATTTTCTTTTTAACCGCCAAAACCGTACAGGGTACGGCCTTGTCTTTTCAGCGCGTAAACAACATCCATGGCTGTGACTGTCTTCCTCTTGGCGTGCTCGGTGTATGTGACCGCATCACGGATAACATTTTCCAAGAAAACTTTTAGAACACCACGAGTTTCCTCATAAATAAGACCAGAAATACGTTTTACGCCACCACGACGAGCTAAACGGCGGATAGCTGGTTTCGTGATGCCCTGGATATTATCACGCAACACTTTGCGATGACGTTTGGCGCCGCCTTTACCCAAGCCTTTGCCACCTTTACCACGACCAGTCATTTTTCACTTTATATTTTTATTCTACTTTACACCACGAATGTCACAAAGATACTAATGCTAGCTCTTCAGCCAGCGCTTATATTTATACTAAAAATATCCAAAACTCGAGCGAGTAAAAAAATATTTCCATCTCGCTCACACACTACCCTCGTAACATATTCGGCAAAGCGGCGAACAGCAAATATCTTTCGTTCTCTTTCTAACTTATCACTCATGTTCTATATAAGCGATACACAAACGAGACGAACGGTTATTGTGTTTTTAACAGTGACTGTGTAAAGTTAGAATTGTGAAAGAAAGATGGCTCGTACTAAGCAAACTGCTCGTAAATCAACTGGAGGAAAGGCTCCTCGGAAACAGTTAGCTACTAAGGCAGCACGTAAAAGTGCTCCAGCAACTGGTGGTGTGAAGAAACCTCATCGCTATAGGCCAGGCACTGTTGCCCTGCGTGAAATTCGTCGCTACCAGAAGAGCACGGAACTGCTTATTCGCAAGTTGCCGTTCCAGCGTTTAGTACGCGAAATTGCTCAGGACTTCAAGACCGACTTACGTTTCCAGAGCTCGGCTGTGATGGCTTTGCAGGAAGCTAGCGAAGCCTATCTAGTTGGCCTATTCGAAGATACAAATTTGTGTGCTATCCACGCTAAGCGTGTCACCATCATGCCCAAGGACATTCAACTGGCCAGACGTATTCGTGGGGAGCGCGCTTAAGTTATACCTCATCCTTAAAACATAAATATCAAACAAATCGGTCCTTTTCAGGACCACAAAATATTCTAAACAAGGAGATTGATATTTTCCAATATACAACTTGAAATATGTACATCATACCAAAAAAGACAACAACACATTGTGACAGAAATAATCTAAAAAAAAAAAACGATTTTCTGTCACCGAATTTTATTTGCAATATCATGCTCGAAAAACTACGCGTTTGCCTATTGAAACATTTTTCAGCTAGAATTCCAGAAGAGAGCTGATGGATTATTTGCAAAAGATATTACTAGTCGGAAGATTTTTATTCGGGTAGTTTGGAATACTGATCCTTTGCTGTAGCCAACGGATAATAAGTTATCTTTTTTATTTCGAAAACAGAGTGCTTGTATTCTAAAATAACGAGTCCAAACTTTCGTCGATTACAATTGTTAATTTTCTGAAAGATATATCTATATTCTGATATTTAAAAATATTTTAAATTCCTTGAAAAGGCGATTTGTGGCCCTGAAAAGGGCCTTTTGCTTTTGTTTGCTTCCCGTACAATGTACATCTAGCTGAATTTTACTTGGAGCTGGTGTACTTTGTAACTGCTTTTGTTCCCTCACTGACAGCGTGCTTGGCCAATTCGCCGGGCAGCAAAAGACGTACTGCGGTTTGGATTTCCCGACTGGTAATAGTTGAGCGTTTGTTGTAGTGAGCCAAACGGGAGGCCTCGGCAGCAATACGCTCGAAAATGTCGTTAACAAAGCTGTTCATTATGCTCATCGCCTTTGACGAAATGCCGGTGTCAGGGTGGACCTGCTTGAGCACTTTGTAAATGTAGATAGCATAGCTTTCCTTCCTCTTGCGCTTCTTCTTCTTGTCATTCTTGGTAATGTTTTTTTGAGCCTTACCAGCCTTTTTGGCTGCCTTCCCACTTGTTTTCGGCGGCATTATTATTCACAAACGTTCACTTTAATTCACTTCACAAATGTTTGACACTTGGGGTGTGTTGCTTAGCATTTATACTTTTTTTCGAGCGACGCTTTCATGTTTATATCACGTTCAATTCGCATCTCTAAAACTGAAGAAGTAGGTAGTTGGAAAAAGTATAAATATAATGGATATGTGGTTGGATGTCAGAAACATTCGATAGTTGTTTGTAAGCAGTGAAACAGTGAAATAAGGAAAATACGAAAATGTCTGGTCGCGGTAAAGGTGGAAAAGTGAAGGGAAAGGCAAAGTCGCGTTCTAACCGCGCTGGTCTTCAGTTTCCCGTTGGTCGTATTCACCGCCTCCTTCGTAAGGGCAACTATGCTGAACGTGTTGGTGCCGGTGCTCCTGTCTACTTGGCTGCCGTTATGGAATATTTGGCCGCTGAAGTTTTGGAGTTGGCTGGCAATGCTGCACGCGACAACAAGAAAACTAGAATTATCCCTCGCCACTTGCAATTGGCCATTCGTAACGATGAGGAGTTAAACAAACTGCTTTCGGGCGTCACCATTGCCCAGGGCGGTGTTTTACCCAACATCCAAGCAGTTCTGTTGCCCAAGAAGACGGAAAAGAAGGCATAATTTGCTAGTTAACTAAACAAAAAAAAAAAAGACAGCGTATACATTTGTAAATAGTCGAAACCAACCGTCCTTTTCAGGACGACCAAAAATATTAAAAAAGAGATTATCTTTTCATTCGATAGGGTATCCGAAATCGATTCAATAATACAAAGTACAGTCGTGCTAGTCGATAAAAATGTGTAATATTGTCTTATGGAATGCGGTTGTCTTACTTTTGTGATAGATAAAAAACAAGCACAAAATATGTAAAACAAACGAACATCGGTGAATCTTGTCGATTGCTGGAGCAGTGTCGGGAGCGGTTGATTCTTAGATGGAGAAGCGTTTGACAGCTTGACCATTGCCCTGGGCGTTGTTTTACCCAACATCCAAGCAGTTCTGTTGCCCAAGAAGGCATTATGTTAAAAAAAGGCATAATTTGCTAGTTAACGAAACTAAAAAAAAAAAAGCGTATTCTTCGTAAATAGTTGAAACCAACCGTCCTTTTCAGGACGACCAAAAATATTTAAAAAGAGATTATCTTTTCATTCAATAGGGTATCCGAAATCGATTCAATAATACAAAGTACATCTCAGCTCAAAAGTACAGTCGTGCTAGTCGCTAAAAATGTGCAAATTGTCCTATCGAATGCGGTTGTCATACGTTTGTGATGGATTAAAAACAAGCACAAAATATGTAAAACAAACGAACATCGGTGATTCTGGTCGATTAATGGAGCAGTGTCGGGAGCGGTTGATTCTGAGATGGAGAAACGTTTGACGCTTGAATACATCACATTTTAGACATTCATATGATCTGTGCTTGCTTCTTTCATTAAGGTTGAATTAAACGTTTTTGATCTCTTAATAAAACGGATTAGTGGTCCTGAAAAGGACCGATTGGTGTCAACATAAATTGTACATTTTCTTTTTAACCGCCAAAACCGTACAGGGTACGGCCTTGTCTTTTCAGCGCGTAAACAACATCCATGGCTGTGACTGTCTTCCTCTTGGCGTGCTCGGTGTATGTGACCGCATCACGGATAACATTTTCCAAGAAAACTTTTAGAACACCACGAGTTTCCTCATAAATAAGACCAGAAATACGTTTTACGCCACCACGACGAGCTAAACGGCGGATAGCTGGTTTCGTGATGCCCTGAATATTATCACGCAACACTTTGCGATGACGTTTGGCGCCGCCTTTACCCAAGCCCTTGCCACCTTTACCACGACCAGTCATTTTTCACTTTATATTTTTATTCTACTTTACACCACGAATGTCACAAAGATACTAATGCTAGCTCTTCAGCCAGCGCTTATATTTATACCAAAAATATCCAAAACTCGAGCGAGTAAAAAAATATTTCCATCTCGCTCACACACTACCCTCGTAACATATTCGGCAAAGCGACGAACAGCAAATATCTTTCGTTCTCTTTCTAACTTATCACGTATTTTCTATATAAGCGATACACAAACGAGACACATGCTCAGTGTGTTTTTAACAGTGACTGTGTAAAGTTAGAATTGTGAAAGAAAGATGGCTCGTACTAAGCAAACTGCTCGTAAATCAACTGGAGGAAAGGCTCCTCGGAAACAGTTAGCTACTAAGGCAGCACGTAAAAGTGCTCCAGCAACTGGTGGTGTGAAGAAACCTCATCGCTATAGGCCAGGCACTGTTGCCCTGCGTGAAATTCGTCGCTACCAGAAGAGCACGGAACTGCTTATTCGCAAGTTGCCGTTCCAGCGTTTAGTACGCGAAATTGCTCAGGACTTCAAGACCGACTTACGTTTCCAGAGCTCGGCTGTGATGGCTTTGCAGGAAGCTAGCGAAGCCTATCTAGTTGGCCTATTCGAAGATACAAATTTGTGTGCTATCCACGCTAAGCGTGTCACCATCATGCCCAAGGACATTCAACTGGCCAGACGTATTCGTGGGGAGCGCGCTTAAGTTATACCTCATCCTTAATATCAAACAAATCGGTCCTTTTCAGGACCACAAAATATTCTAAACAAGGAGATTGATATTTTCGTATCAATATATTAAATACCGAAAAATATTGGTTAAAAGTCAAACAAAACTGCATTTTCATTTTGTCTTGAATAAAAAAAGCTCGGACCTCGAGCCTGCCAAACAAACAATTTTGAAATGGAAAGGTCGCCAAATACAACATTATATTAAATAGCTTTATAAAATGTGACAATAAGCAAATAGGGCATTACAGTATTTGCTTCACCTCATTGTATCTTAACGATAAATCCATATGCATATTATTTAATATTTAACCGAAAACTCAACTCCATTATATTCCACCGACAAAATATATGTCGATGTATAGATGATTTTCTGAATAGCTATATAAAGCATTTGGTTTGGTCCTCATCACCGCAAATAAACATAATTTTTAATTTTTCATCAATCAATTGTGCTCTAAGAGATAATTTCTGAATTTCGAAAATAAATTAACTAAGGGTCTAATGGATTTTTCGCTACACAGAAATGTCATATGGATTTCGCATGATATTTTATTAATTTAGTTTCAACTATATTAACAATTTGTTTTACTAAATGGAATAATCTTTCATTTCCTTTTTTTTTTTAATTTATATTAACTGTTAAAGACAAAATTAGATTTGTCTGAAGCGTTTTATATTGATTTCATTGTAAACTTGCCTGTTTTTAACAGCTAAGGGTTATGTTAAATAGATATTTAAAATAGTAGACTTAAGATATATTTAAATTAATAGTTGAATTTAATTAAAGAATTGTTGAAATATTGTATATAAATGCATAATATTTCAAGATTCGTTATATTATTATTAATAATCGTGTTTTTTGCTCGAAAACGTTTTTCGCCAAGACACAAAGTTAAACTTTGACTGGCAATTAAAAATCATAAAATCATGTTAAATACACTAAATAATTTATATTGTATTGTTTGAATATTAAACAAAACATTCCAATTCATATTCACAACGATTTCCAAGTATAAACTTTTGTAAATGACCATTTAACAAGTATGTAATGACGACGCATTGAGTAACAAACGTTCAATACCAAAAACATTCTCGTACCACCGTCCTCCTCGATTCTCACGCAAACGGGTGACCAAAAAAATATGAATTTTTTCGAAAATTAACAAGTGAACAGTGAATAAAGTGAAGTTAAGATGTCTGATTCCGCAGTTGCAACGTCCGCATCTCCTGTGATTGCCCAAGCAGCCTCAGGCGAGAAAAAGGTGGCTACTAAAAAGGCAGCAGCCGCCACACCAAAGTCAAAGAAGTCAGCAGCTCCTCCATCGCACCCACCAACTCAGCAAATGGTAGATGCATCGATTAAAAACTTAAAGGAACGTGGTGGCTCATCCCTTCTGGCAATTAAAAAATATATCGGTGCTACATACAAGTGCGATGCCCAGAAGCTAGCCCCGTTCATTAAGAAGTACCTAAAGAATGCGGTTGCGAATGGAAAGCTGATCCAAACAAAGGGCAAGGGTGCCTCTGGTTCGTTCAAACTATCTGCATCCGCTAAAAAGGATCCCAAGCCAAAGGCCTCCGCTGTCGAGAAGAAAACTAAGAAGGTAAATGCTTCGGCGGCAGCAGCAACTAAAAAGAAGAGTAGTACATCTACCACGAAGAAAGCAGCGGGTGCCGCTGATAAAAAGCCATCAAAATCGGCAGCAACCAAAAAGAGTGTTGAGAAAAAGAAGGCGGACAAAGCAAAGGCTAAGGATGCGAAGAAAACGGGAACCATTAAGGCCAAGCCTACAACAGCAAAGGCTAAATCAAGCGCAACAAAGCCAAAGACCCCAAAACCTAAGACCACAACTGCTAAACCGAAGAAAGTCGTGTCGGCTACGACCCCGAAGAAAACTGCTGTCAAGAAGCCAAAAGCGAAGACTGCATCTGCAACGAAGAAATAATTTGAAATTGCTCGTCAGCATGTGCAAATTTCTAATATTGAAATTTGTTTTTCAACAAAGCCCTTTTAAGGGCTACTAATACGATTTTCTAAGAGAAAGAATTTTTCTTTTTGTCTACATCGGCATATATGTTAAGTTAGATTGGACTTGTCAACTTATCATCATTCATCATTGTAAATATCATATAAGTTCTTTCCTCATTCATTCCACCGCACAATAGATAGAAAAAGTTCCATAAATACTAAAGATTCTCTAAAGACCGCATAGACGGAAAGTGTACTCTAATATTTAAGATAATAGAAAAGTTCTTATAACGCAACCAGAATGCATATAAGATATTTTGATTTTTAAATATTTTTAATTCCTTGAAAAGTCGATTTGTGGCCCTGAAAAGGGCCTTTTGCTTTTGTTTGCTTCCCGTACAATGTACATCTAGCTGAATTTTACTTGGAGCTGGTGTACTTTGTAACTGCTTTTGTTCCCTCACTGACAGCGTGCTTGGCCAATTCGCCGGGCAGCAAAAGACGTACTGCGGTTTGGATTTCCCGACTGGTAATAGTTGAGCGTTTGTTGTAGTGAGCCAAACGGGAGGCCTCGGCAGCAATACGCTCGAAAATGTCGTTAACAAAGCTGTTCATTATGCTCATCGCCTTTGACGAAATGCCGGTGTCAGGGTGGACCTGCTTGAGCACTTTGTAAATGTAGATAGCATAGCTTTCCTTCCTCTTGCGCTTCTTCTTCTTGTCATTCTTGGTAATGTTTTTTTGAGCCTTACCAGCCTTTTTGGCTGCCTTCCCACTTGTTTTCGGCGGCATTATTATTCACAAACGTTCACTTTAATTCACTTCACAAATGTTTGACACTTAAGGGTGTGTTGCTTAGCATTTATACTTTTTTTCGAGCGACGCTTTCATGTTTATATCACGTTCAATTCGCATCTCTAAAACTGAAGAAGTAGGTAGTTGGAAAAAGTATAAATATAATGGATATGTGGTTGGATATCAGAAACATTCGATAGTTGTGTGTAAGCAGTGAAACAGTGAAATAAGGAAAATACGAAAATGTCTGGTCGCGGTAAAGGTGGAAAAGTGAAGGGAAAGGCAAAGTCGCGTTCTAACCGCGCTGGTCTTCAGTTTCCCGTTGGTCGTATTCACCGCCTCCTTCGTAAGGGCAACTATGCTGAACGTGTTGGTGCCGGTGCTCCTGTCTACTTGGCTGCCGTTATGGAATATTTGGCCGCTGAAGTTTTGGAGTTGGCTGGCAATGCTGCACGCGACAACAAGAAAACTAGAATTATTCCTCGCCACTTGCAATTGGCCATTCGTAACGATGAGGAGTTAAACAAACTGCTTTCGGGCGTCACCATTGCCCAGGGCGGTGTTTTACCCAACATCCAAGCAGTTCTGTTGCCCAAGAAGACGGAAAAGAAGGCATAATTTGCTAGTTAACTAAACAAAAAAAAAAAAAGACAGCGTATACATTTGTAAATAGTCGAAACCAACCGTCCTTTTCAGGACGACCAAAAATATTAAAAAAGAGATTATCTTTTCATTCGATAGGGTATCCGAAATCGATTCAATAATACAAAGTACAGTCGTGCTAGTCGATAAAAATGTGTAATATTGTCTTATGGAATGCGGTTGTCTTACTTTTGTGATAGATAAAAAACAAGCACAAAATATGTAAAACAAACGAACATCGGTGAATCTTGTCGATTGCTGGAGCAGTGTCGGGAGCGGTTGATTCTTAGATGGAGAAGCGTTTGACAGCTTGACCATTGCCCTGGGCGTTGTTTTACCCAACATCCAAGCAGTTCTGTTGCCCAAGAAGGCATTATGTTAAAAAAAGGCATAATTTGCTAGTTAACGAAACTAAAAAAAAAAAAGCGTATTCTTCGTAAATAGTTGAAACCAACCGTCCTTTTCAGGACGACCAAAAATATTTAAAAAGAGATTATCTTTTCATTCGATAGGGTATCCGAAATCGATTCAATAATACAAAGTACAGTCGTGCTAGTCGATAAAAATGTGTAATATTGTCTTATGGAATGCGGTTGTCTTACTTTTGTGATAGATAAAAAACAAGCACAAAATATGTAAAACAAACGAACATCGGTGAATCTTGTCGATTGCTGGAGCAGTGTCGGGAGCGATTGATGGAAAAACGTTTGTCAGCTTGACCATTGCCGGGTGCGTTCTTTTACCCAACATCCAAGCAATTCTGCTGCCCAAGAAGACGGAAAAGAAGGCATAATTTGCTAGCAAAAAAAAAAGACAGCGTATGCATTTGTAAATAGTCGAAACCAACCGTCCTTTTCAGGACGACCAAAAATATTTAAAAAGAGATTATCTTTTCATTCAATAGGGTATCCGAAATCGATTCAATAATACAAAGTACATCTCAGCTCAAAAGTACAGTCGTGCTAGTCGCTAAAAATGTGCAAATTGTCCTATCGAATGCGGTTGTCATACGTTTGTGATGGATTAAAAACAAGCACAAAATATGTAAAACAAACGAACATCGGTGATTCTGGTCGATTAATGGAGCAGTGTCGGGAGCGGTTGATTCTGAGATGGAGAAACGTTTGACGCTTGAATACATCACATTTTAGACATTCATATGATCTGTGCTTGCTTCTTTCATTAAGGTTGAATTAAACGTTTTTGATCTCTTAATAAAACGGATTGGTGGTCCTGAAAAGGACCGATTGGTGTCAACATAAATTCTACATTTTCTTTTTAACCGCCAAAACCGTACAGGGTACGGCCTTGTCTTTTCAGCGCGTAAACAACATCCATGGCTGTGACTGTCTTCCTCTTGGCGTGCTCGGTGTATGTGACCGCATCACGGATAACATTTTCCAAGAAAACTTTTAGAACACCACGAGTTTCCTCATAAATAAGACCAGAAATACGTTTTACGCCACCACGACGAGCTAAACGGCGGATAGCTGGTTTCGTGATGCCCTGGATATTATCACGCAACACTTTGCGATGACGTTTGGCGCCGCCTTTACCCAAGCCTTTGCCACCTTTACCACGACCAGTCATTTTTCACTTTATATTTTTATTCTACTTTACACCACGAATGTCACAAAGATACTAATGCTAGCTCTTCAGCCAGCGCTTATATTTATACCAAAAATATCCAAAACTCGAGCGAGTAAAAAAATATTTCCATCTCGCTCACACACTACCCTCGTAACATATTCGGCAAAGCGACGAACAGCAAACATCTTTCGTTCTCTTTCTAACTTATCACGTATTTTCTATATAAGCGATACACAAACGAGACACATGCTCAGTGTGTTTTTAACAGTGACTGTGTAAAGTTAGAATTGTGAAAGAAAGATGGCTCGTACTAAGCAAACTGCTCGTAAATCAACTGGAGGAAAGGCTCCTCGGAAACAGTTAGCTACTAAGGCAGCACGTAAAAGTGCTCCAGCAACTGGTGGTGTGAAGAAACCTCATCGCTATAGGCCAGGCACTGTTGCCCTGCGTGAAATTCGTCGCTACCAGAAGAGCACGGAACTGCTTATTCGCAAGTTGCCGTTCCAGCGTTTAGTACGCGAAATTGCTCAGGACTTCAAGACCGACTTACGTTTCCAGAGCTCGGCTGTGATGGCTTTGCAGGAAGCTAGCGAAGCCTATCTAGTTGGCCTATTCGAAGATACAAATTTGTGTGCTATCCACGCTAAGCGTGTCACCATCATGCCCAAGGACATTCAACTGGCCAGACGTATTCGTGGGGAGCGCGCTTAAGTTATACCTCATCCTTAAAACATAAATATCAAACAAATCGGTCCTTTTCAGGACCACAAAATATTCTAAACAAGGAGATTGATATTTTCCAATATACAACTTGAAAAATGTACATCATACCAAAAAAGACAACAACACATTGTGACAGAAATAATCTAAAAAAAAAAAAACGATTTTCTGTCACCGAATTTTATTTGCAATATCATGCTCGAAAAAACTACGCCTATTGAAACATTTTTCAGCTAGAATTCCAGGAGAGCTGATGGATTATTTGCAAAAGATATTACTAGTCGGAAGATTTTTATTCGGGTAGTTTGGAATACTGATCCTTTGCTGTAGCCAACGGATAATAAGTTATCTTTTTTATTTCGAAAACAGAGTGCTTGTTTTCTAAATTACGAGTCCAAACTTTCGTCGATTACAATTGTTAATTTTCTGAAAGATATATCTATATTCTGATATTTAAAAATATTTTAAATTCCTTGAAAAGGCGATTTGTGGCCCTGAAAAGGGCCTTTTGCTTTTGTTTGCTTCCCGTACAATGTACATCTAGCTAAATTTTACTTGGAGCTGGTGTACTTTGTAACTGCTTTTGTTCCCTCACTGACAGCGTGCTTGGCCAATTCGCCGGGCAGCAAAAGACGTACTGCGGTTTGGATTTCCCGACTGGTAATAGTTGAGCGTTTGTTGTAGTGAGCCAAACGGGAGGCCTCGGCAGCAATACGCTCGAAAATGTCGTTAACAAAGCTGTTCATTATGCTCATCGCCTTTGACGAAATGCCGGTGTCAGGGTGGACTTGCTTGAGCACTTTGTAAATGTAGATAGCATAGCTTTCCTTCCTCTTGCGCTTCTTCTTCTTGTCATTCTTGGTAATGTTTTTTTGAGCCTTACCAGCCTTTTTGGCTGCCTTCCCACTTGTTTTCGGCGGCATTATTATTCACAAACGTTCACTTTAATTCACTTCACAAATGTTTGACACTTGGGGTGTGTTGCTTAGCATTTATACTTTTTTTCGAGCGACGCTTTCATGTTTATATCACGTTCAACTCGCATCTCTAAAACTGAAGAAGTAGGTAGTTGGAAAAAGTATAAATATAATGGATATGTGGTTGGATATCAGAAACATTCGATAGTTGTGTGTAAGCAGTGAAACAGTGAAATAAGGAAAATACGAAAATACGAAAATGTCTGGTCGCGGTAAAGGTGGAAAAGTGAAGGGAAAGGCAAAGTCGCGTTCTAACCGCGCTGGTCTTCAGTTTCCCGTTGGTCGTATTCACCGCCTCCTTCGTAAGGGCAACTATGCTGAACGTGTTGGTGCCGGTGCTCCTGTCTACTTGGCTGCCGTTATGGAATATTTGGCCGCTGAAGTTTTGGAGTTGGCTGGCAATGCTGCACGCGACAACAAGAAAACTAGAATTATCCCTCGCCACTTGCAATTGGCCATTCGTAACGATGAGGAGTTAAACAAACTGCTTTCGGGCGTCACCATTGCCCAGGGCGGTGTTTTACCCAACATCCAAGCAGTTCTGTTGCCCAAGAAGGCATTATGTTAAAAAAAGGCATAATTTGCTAGTTAACGAAACTAAAAAAAAAAAAGCGTATTCTTCGTAAATAGTTGAAACCAACCGTCCTTTTCAGGACGACCAAAAATATTTAAAAAGAGATTATCTTTTCATTCAATAGGGTATCCGAAATCGATTCAATAATACAAAGTACATCTCAGCTCAAAAGTACAGTCGTGCTAGTCGCTAAAAATGTGCAAATTGTCCTATCGAATGCGGTTGTCATACGTTTGTGATGGATTAAAAACAAGCACAAAATATGTAAAACAAACGAACATCGGTGATTCTGGTCGATTAATGGAGCAGTGTCGGGAGCGGTTGATTCTGAGATGGAGAAACGTTTGACGCTTGAATACATCACATTTTAGACATTCATATGATCTGTGCTTGCTTCTTTCATTAAGGTTGAATTAAACGTTTTTGATCTCTTAATAAAACGGATTGGTGGTCCTGAAAAGGACCGATTGGTGTCAACATAAATTCTACATTTTCTTTTTAACCGCCAAAACCGTACAGGGTACGGCCTTGTCTTTTCAGCGCGTAAACAACATCCATGGCTGTGACTGTCTTCCTCTTGGCGTGCTCGGTGTATGTGACCGCATCACGGATAACATTTTCCAAGAAAACTTTTAGAACACCACGAGTTTCCTCATAAATAAGACCAGAAATACGTTTTACGCCACCACGACGAGCTAAACGGCGGATAGCTGGTTTCGTGATGCCCTGGATATTATCACGCAACACTTTGCGATGACGTTTGGCGCCGCCTTTACCCAAGCCTTTGCCACCTTTACCACGACCAGTCATTTTTCACTTTATATTTTTATTCTACTTTACACCACGAATGTCACAAAGATACTAATGCTAGCTCTTCAGCCAGCGCTTATATTTATACAAAAAATATCCAAAACTCGAGCGAGTAAGAAAATATTTCCATCTCGCTCACACACTACCCTCGTAACATATTCGGCAAAGCGACGAACAGCAAATATCTTTCGTTCTCTTTCTAACTTATCACTCATGTTCTATATAAGCGATACACAAACGAGACACATGCTCAGTGTGTTTTTAACAGTGACTGTGTAAAGTTAGAATTGTGAAAGAAAGATGGCTCGTACTAAGCAAACTGCTCGTAAATCAACTGGAGGAAAGGCTCCTCGGAAACAGTTAGCTACTAAGGCAGCACGTAAAAGTGCTCCAGCAACTGGTGGTGTGAAGAAACCTCATCGCTATAGGCCAGGCACTGTTGCCCTGCGTGAAATTCGTCGCTACCAGAAGAGCACGGAACTGCTTATTCGCAAGTTGCCGTTCCAGCGTTTAGTACGCGAAATTGCTCAGGACTTCAAGACCGACTTACGTTTCCAGAGCTCGGCTGTGATGGCTTTGCAGGAAGCTAGCGAAGCCTATCTAGTTGGCCTATTCGAAGATACAAATTTGTGTGCTATCCACGCTAAGCGTGTCACCATCATGCCCAAGGACATTCAACTGGCCAGACGTATTCGTGGGGAGCGCGCTTAAGTTATACCTCATCCTTAATATCAAACAAATCGGTCCTTTTCAGGACCACAAAATATTCTAAACAAGGAGGTTGATATTTTCCAATATACAACTTGAAATATGTACATCATACCAAAAAAGACATTGTGACAGAAATAATTTATTTGCAATATCATGCTCGAAAAAACTACGCGTTTGCCTATTGAAACATTTTTCAGCTAGAATTCCAGAAGAGAGCTGATGGATTATTTGCAAAAGATATTACTAGTCGGAAGATTTTTATTCGGGTAGTTTGGAATACTGATCCTTTGCTGTAGCCAACGGATAATAAGTTATCTTTTTTATTTCGAAAACAGAGTGCTTGTATTCTAAAATAACGAGTCCAAACTTTCGTCGATTACAATTGTTAATTTTCTGAAAGATATATCTATATTCTGATATTTAAAAATATTTTAAATTCCTTGAAAAGGCGATTTGTGGCCCTGAAAAGGGCCTTTTGCTTTTGTTTGCTTCCCGTACAATGTACATCTAGCTAAATTTTACTTGGAGCTGGTGTACTTTGTAACTGCTTTTGTTCCCTCACTGACAGCGTGCTTGGCCAATTCGCCGGGCAGCAAAAGACGTACTGCGGTTTGGATTTCCCGACTGGTAATAGTTGAGCGTTTGTTGTAGTGAGCCAAACGGGAGGCCTCGGCAGCAATACGCTCGAAAATGTCGTTAACAAAGCTGTTCATTATGCTCATCGCCTTTGACGAAATGCCGGTGTCAGGGTGGACCTGCTTGAGCACTTTGTAAATGTAGATAGCATAGCTTTCCTTCCTCTTGCGCTTCTTCTTCTTGTCATTCTTGGTAATGTTTTTTTGAGCCTTACCAGCCTTTTTGGCTGCCTTCCCACTTGTTTTCGGCGGCATTATTATTCACAAACGTTCACTTTAATTCACTTCACAAATGTTTGACACTTGGGGTGTGTTGCTTCGCATTTATACTTTTTTTCGAGCGACGCTTTCATGTTTATATCACGTTCAACTCGCATCTCTAAAACTGAAGAAGTAGGTAGTTGGAAAAAGTATAAACATAATGGATATGTGGTTGGATGTCAGAAACATTCGATAGTTGTGTGTAAGCAGTGAAACAGTGAAATAAGGAAAATACGAAAATGTCTGGTCGCGGTAAAGGTGGAAAAGTGAAGGGAAAGGCAAAGTCGCGTTCTAACCGCGCTGGTCTTCAGTTTCCCGTTGGTCGTATTCACCGCCTCCTTCGTAAGGGCAACTATGCTGAACGTGTTGGTGCCGGTGCTCCTGTCTACTTGGCTGCCGTTATGGAATATTTGGCCGCTGAAGTTTTGGAGTTGGCTGGCAATGCTGCACGCGACAACAAGAAAACTAGAATTATCCCTCGCCACTTGCAATTGGCCATTCGTAACGATGAGGAGTTAAACAAACTGCTTTCGGGCGTCACCATTGCCCAGGGCGGTGTTTTACCCAACATCCAAGCAGTTCTGTTGCCCAAGAAGACGGAAAAGAAGGCATAATTTGCTAGTTAACTAAACAAAAAAAAAAAAAAAGACAGCGTATACATTTGTAAATAGTCGAAACCAACCGTCCTTTTCAGGACGACCAAAAATATTAAAAAAGAGATTATCTTTTCATTCGATAGGGTATCCGAAATCGATTCAATAATACAAAGTACAGTCGTGCTAGTCGATAAAAATGTGTAATATTGTCTTATGGAATGCGGTTGTCTTACTTTTGTGATAGATAAAAAACAAGCACAAAATATGTAAAACAAACGAACATCGGTGAATCTTGTCGATTGCTGGAGCAGTGTCGGGAGCGGTTGATTCTTAGATGGAGAAGCGTTTGACAGCTTGACCATTGCCCTGGGCGTTGTTTTACCCAACATCCAAGCAGTTCTGTTGCCCAAGAAGGCATTATGTTAAAAAAAGGCATAATTTGCTAGTTAACGAAACTAAAAAAAAAAAGCGTATTCTTCGTAAATAGTTGAAACCAACCGTCCTTTTCAGGACGACCAAAATATTTAAAAAGAGATTATCTTTTCATTCAATAGGGTATCCGAAATCGATTCAATAATACAAAGTACATCTCAGCTCAAAAGTACAGTCGTGCTAGTCGCTAAAAATGTGCAAATTGTCCTATCGAATGCGGTTGTCATACGTTTGTGATGGATTAAAAACAAGCACAAAATATGTAAAACAAACGAACATCGGTGATTCTGGTCGATTAATGGAGCAGTGTCGGGAGCGGTTGATTCTGAGATGGAGAAACGTTTGACGCTTGAATACATCACATTTTAGACATTCATATGATCTGTGCTTGCTTCTTTCATTAAGGTTGAATTAAACGTTTTTGATCTCTTAATAAAACGGATTGGTGGTCCTGAAAAGGACCGATTGGTGTCAACATAAATTGTACATTTTCTTTTTAACCGCCAAAACCGTACAGGGTACGGCCTTGTCTTTTCAGCGCGTAAACAACATCCATGGCTGTGACTGTCTTCCTCTTGGCGTGCTCGGTGTATGTGACCGCATCACGGATAACATTTTCCAAGAAAACTTTTAGAACACCACGAGTTTCCTCATAAATAAGACCAGAAATACGTTTTACGCCACCACGACGAGCTAAACGGCGGATAGCTGGTTTCGTGATGCCCTGGATATTATCACGCAACACTTTGCGATGACGTTTGGCGCCGCCTTTACCCAAGCCTTTGCCACCTTTACCACGACCAGTCATTTTTCACTTTATATTTTTATTCTACTTTACACCACGAATGTCACAAAGATACTAATGCTAGCTCTTCAGCCAGCGCTTATATTTATACAAAAAATATCCAAAACTCGAGCGAGTAAGAAAATATTTCCATCTCGCTCACACACTACCCTCGTAACATATTCGGCAAAGCGACGAACAGCAAATATCTTTCGTTCTCTTTCTAACTTATCACTCATGTTCTATATAAGCGATACACAAACGAGACACATGCTCAGTGTGTTTTTAACAGTGACTGTGTAAAGTTAGAATTGTGAAAGAAAGATGGCTCGTACTAAGCAAACTGCTCGTAAATCAACTGGAGGAAAGGCTCCTCGGAAACAGTTAGCTACTAAGGCAGCACGTAAAAGTGCTCCAGCAACTGGTGGTGTGAAGAAACCTCATCGCTATAGGCCAGGCACTGTTGCCCTGCGTGAAATTCGTCGCTACCAGAAGAGCACGGAACTGCTTATTCGCAAGTTGCCGTTCCAGCGTTTAGTACGCGAAATTGCTCAGGATTTCAAGACCGACTTACGTTTCCAGAGCTCGGCTGTGATGGCTTTGCAGGAAGCTAGCGAAGCCTATCTAGTTGGCCTATTCGAAGATACAAATTTGTGTGCTATCCACGCTAAGCGTGTCACCATCATGCCCAAGGACATTCAACTGGCCAGACGTATTCGTGGGGAGCGCGCTTAAGTTATACCTCACCCTTAAAACATAAATATCAAACAAATCGGTCCTTTTCAGGACCACAAAATATTCTAAACAAGGAGATTGATATTTTCCAATATACAACTTGAAATATGTACATCATACCAAAAAAGACAACAACACATTGTGACAAATAATCTAAAAAAAAACGATTTTCTGTCACCGAATTTTATTTGCAATATCATGCTCGAAAAATCTACGCGTTTGCCTATTGAAACATTTTTCAGCTAGAATTCCAGAAGAGAGCTGATGGATTATTTGCAAAAGTCTACTAGTCGGAAGATTTTTATTCGGGTAGTTTGGAATACTGATCCTTTGCTGTAGCCAACGCATAATAAGTTATCTTTTTTATTTCGAAAACAGAGTGCTTGTATTCTAAAATAACGAGTCCAAACTTTCGTCGATTACAATTGTTAATTTTCTGAAAGATATATCTATATTCTGATATTTAAAAATATTTTAAATTCCTTGAAAAGGCGATTTGTGGCCCTGAAAAGGGCCTTTTGCTTTTGTTTGCTTCCCGTACAATGTACATCTAGCTGAATTTTACTTGGAGCTGGTGTACTTTGTAACTGCTTTTGTTCCCTCACTGACAGCGTGCTTGGCCAATTCGCCGGGCAGCAAAAGACGTACTGCGGTTTGGATTTCCCGACTGGTAATAGTTGAGCGTTTGTTGTAGTGAGCCAAACGGGAGGCCTCGGCAGCAATACGCTCGAAAATGTCGTTAACAAAGCTGTTCATTATGCTCATCGCCTTTGACGAAATGCCGGTGTCAGGGTGGACCTGCTTGAGCACTTTGTAAATGTAGATAGCATAGCTTTCCTTCCTCTTGCGCTTCTTCTTCTTGTCATTCTTGGTAATGTTTTTTTGAGCCTTACCAGCCTTTTTGGCTGCCTTCCCACTTGTTTTCGGCGGCATTATTATTCACAAACGTTCACTTTAATTCACTTCACAAATGTTTGACACTTGGGGTGTGTTGCTTAGCATTTATACTTTTTTTCGAGCGACGCTTTCATGTTTATATCACGTTCAACTCGCATCTCTAAAACTGAAGAAGTAGGTAGTTGGAAAAAGTATAAATATAATGGATATGTGGTTGGATGTCAGAAACATTCGATAGTTGTGTGTAAGCAGTGAAACAGTGAAATAAGGAAAATACGAAAATGTCTGGTCGCGGTAAAGGTGGAAAAGTGAAGGGAAAGGCAAAGTCGCGTTCTAACCGCGCTGGTCTTCAGTTTCCCGTTGGTCGTATTCACCGCCTCCTTCGTAAGGGCAACTATGCTGAACGTGTTGGTGCCGGTGCTCCTGTCTACTTGGCTGCCGTTATGGAATATTTGGCCGCTGAAGTTTTGGAGTTGGCTGGCAATGCTGCACGCGACAACAAGAAAACTAGAATTATCCCTCGCCACTTGCAATTGGCCATTCGTAACGATGAGGAGTTAAACAAACTGCTTTCGGGCGTCACCATTGCCCAGGGCGGTGTTTTACCCAACATCCAAGCAGTTCTGTTGCCCAAGAAGACGGAAAAGAAGGCATAATTTGCTAGTAACTAAACAAAAAAAAAAAAAGACGGCGTATACATTTGTAAATAGTCGAAACCAACCGTCCTTTTCAGGACGACCAAAAATATTAAAAAAGAGATTATCTTTTCATTCGATAGGGTATCCGAAATCGATTCAATAATACAAAGTACAGTCGTGCTAGTCGATAAAAATGTGTAATATTGTCTTATGGAATGCGGTTGTCTTACTTTTGTGATAGATAAAAAACAAGCACAAAATATGTAAAACAAACGAACATCGGTGAGTCCTTGCGATTGCTGGAGCAGTGTCGGGAGCGATTGATGGAGAAACGTTTGTCAGCTTGACCATTGCCGGGTGCGTTGTTTTACCCAACATCCAAGCAGTTCTGTTGCCCAAGGCATTATGTTAAAAAAAGGCATAATTTGCTAGTTAACGAAACTAAAAAAAAAAAAGCGTATTCTTCGTAAATAGTTGAAACAACCGTCCTTTTCAGGACGACCAAAATATTTAAAAAGAGATTATCTTTTCATTCAATAGGGTATCCGAAATCGATTCAATAATACAAAGTACATCTCAGCTCAAAAGTACAGTCGTGCTAGTCGCTAAGAATGTGCAAATTGTCCTATCGAATGCGGTTGTCATACGTTTGTGATGGATTAAAAACAAGCACAAAATATGTCTTACTTTTGTGATAGATTAAAAACAAGCACAAAATTTGTAAAACAAACGAACATCGGTGAATCTTGTCGATTGCTGGAGCAGTGCCGGGAGCGGTTGATTCTTAGATGGAGAAGCGTTTGACAGCTTGACCATTGCCCTGGGCGTTGTTTTACCCAATATCCAAGCAGTTCTGTTGCCCAAGAAGGCATAATATTGAAAAAAGGGCATAATTTGCTAGTTAACTAAACAAAAAAAAGACAGCGGATAAAAGTTGACAACATCACATTTTAGATATTCATATGATCTGTGCTAGCGTGTTTCATTAAGGTTAAGGTTAAGAATTAAACGTTTTTGATCTCTTAATAAAACGGATTAGTGGTCCTGAAAAGGACCGATTGGTGTCAACATAAATTCTACATTTTCTTTTTAACCGCCAAAACCGTACAGGGTACGGCCTTGTTCTTTTCAGCAGCGTAAACAACATCCATGGCTGTGACTGTCTTCCTCTTGGCGGCTCGGTGTAGTGACCGCATCACGGATAACATTTTTCCAAGAAAACTTTTAGAACACCACGAGTTTCCTCATAAATAAGACCAGAAATACGTTTACGCCACCACGACGAGCTAAACGGCGGATAGCTGGTTTCGTGATGCCCTGAATATTATCACGCAACACTTTGCGATGACGTTTGGCGCCGCCTTTACCCAAGCCTTTGCCACCTTTACCACGACCAGTCATTTTTCACTTTATATTTTTATTCTACTTTACACCACGAATGTCACAAAGATACTAATGCTAGCTCTTCAGCCAGCGCTTATATTTATACCAAAAATCCTCCAAAACTCGAGCGAGTAAAAAAATATTCCATCTCGCTCAACACACTACCTTCGTAACATATTCGGCAAAGCGACGAACAGCAAACATCTTTCGTTCTCTTCTAACTTATCACTTATTTTCTATATAAGCGATACACAAACGAGACGAACGGTTATTGTGTTTTTAACAGTGACTGTGTAAAGTTAGAATTGTGAAAGAAGATGGCTCGTACTAAGCAAACTGCTCGTAAATCAAACTGGAGGAAAGGCTCCTCGGAAACAGTTAGCTACTAAGGCAGCACGTAAAAGTGCTCCAGCAACTGGTGGTGTGAAGAAACCTCATCGCTATAGGCCAGGCACTGTTGCCCTGCGTGAAATTCGTCGCTACCAGAAGAGCACGGAACTGCTTATTCGCAAGTTGCCGTTCCAGCGTTTAGTACGCGAAATTGCTCAGGACTTCAAGACCGACTTACGTTTCCAGAGCTCGGCTGTGATGGCTTTGCAGGAAGCTAGCGAAGCCTATCTAGTTGGCCTATTCGAAGATACAAATTTGTGTGCTATCCACGCTAAGCGTGTCACCATCATGCCCAAGGACATTCAACTGGCCAGACGTATTCGTGGGGGAGCGCGCTTAAGTTATACCTCATCCTTAAAATTAAATATCAACACAATCGGTCCTTTTCAGGACCACAAAATATTCTAAACAAGGAGATTGATATTTTCCAATATACAACTTGAAATATGTACATCATACCAAAAGACAACAACACATTGTGACAGAAATAATCTAAAAAAAAAAAAACGATTTTCTGTCACCGAATTTTTTGCAATATCATGCTCGAAAACTACGCGTTTGCCTATTGAAACATTTTTCAGCTAGAATTCCCAGAAGAGAGCTGATGGATTATTTGCAAAAGATATTACTAGTCGGAAGATTTTTATTCGGGTAGTTTGGAATACTGATCCTTTGCTGTAGCCAACGATCTAAGTTATTTTTTTCGAAAACAGAGTGCTTGTATTCTAATAACGAGTCCAAACTTTCGTCGATTACAATGTTAATTTTCTGAAATATATCTATTCTGATATTTAAAAATATTTTTCCTTGAAAGGCGTGTGGCCCTGAAAAGGGCCTTTTTGCTTTTGTTTGCTTCCCGTACAATGTACATCTAGCTGAATTTTACTTGGAGCTGGTACTTTGTAACTGCTTTTGTTCCCTCATGACAGCGTGCTTGGCCAATTCGCCGGGCAGCAAAAGCGTACTGCGGTTTGGATTTCCCGACTGGTAATAGTTGAGCGTTTGTTGT